CAAACCATCCTTGGTTTATTTTTCTTTTTAATAAGATAATAGATTAATCTTGATTGTTGCAATTTAATTTATATATATGTGTATAACCATTTATTGTTGTTTCAGATTTTATTCTTCTTGCTTCTGAATTATGGTTCAATTTCATCTAATAAAAAGAAAAAAGTTTGGAATGGTCGGGCCCATGGTTTGCTCCCATGTGGTCTAAGGTTCGAAACCCCCACAGGCACTTACCTAGCTATTTGCTAGAGTTTCCTGCCTCCCAAAGATTGTAGGGTTGGGCGGGGCCCCAGTTTCAAAGCTGTGTCCTCAAAACAGGATTTGTGAATTTATGGGTATCACAGGCTGGGAACAAAATCAGATTCTCATTACTAAAGATCTTAAATTCCTAGCCACATGGAGGTTCCAACTCATAGATGTTTTAGCAGTCTGCAACTAAAGTTTAAGAGAGAGCTAGGTTGTTTTTTTAAAAGCAGCACAAATGACATATCGCTTTGCTTTTCTTTTCCTTTCTTCATACATTCATTAGAATTCCTTTTGATTATGATATGTTGCCTATTCCTATTGATGTTTTCCTAATAATGTTTTCATAAATCTCTCGGAGCCCTATGATATATCTGGTGTTATTTAACAGTTTGTCTGGAAAGGGCACTAGTCCTAATTTGAAGGCTTAATTTAAATCTTGTTCTTCCTGGTTTGATAAGTTGTTCTTTATAATCATACTTTTTTACTTCATTGTCGGCTTCAGGCAGGCGTGGGGTTTTTAATGGTGTAATGGAAGGTCTTCATCAGCATTGGAAGCACAGAGAGGTAGTCAAGGTTATTACGATGCAGAAACTGTTAAGACAGGTCATGCACACTGCAAAGTTGCTTGAAGCAGAAAGCGGTGGGATTCTAGTTTCAGTGGATAGGCTAAAAGAAGGCCATGCTATTATTATTTACCGTGGGAAAAATTACCAACGGCCTTTAAGGCCAACAGGGGGGAATCTTCTATCTAAAAGAAAAGCATTGCATAGATCTCTTGAAATGCAGAGAATTGGAGTAAGATCTTAATTTCCTATCATTCTACTATTTCTCTAACTTTGTTTGATACCACTGTTTCCAATACTAATCCACTTCTTTTCAATCTCAGTCACTCAAGTTTTTCGCATCCCAGAGACAGCAAGCAACCTTAGACTTGAAACTCAAACTGGTAAGAGTTTCAATTTTTTTCCTGAAACAAAATGCTTGAGGCATACTCTTCCATCTTTTTCAAGTTAAGTCTAATGCGCCTTACAAGTCCTAACTAAATCCTAAATGAGTTAACTTTCTTCGATATTTGTTCCATTGTCAGCAAGTTTCTTTGTTTTTTTATCCTCACTTTAAAACTTTTATGCCAAACGTTTGACATCTAATATGACTTGTTTCATGCATTGCCTCATTAGTAAGAACTTCAAGATGAACCTAAAATCATTTTGAGCCCATGAATGGCAGGAAACTCTGGAAAAAAAGAAGAGGAGTTGATCGAAGAGAATCTGAAGTTTGAAATACTATTGACTAATTGATGTATCATGCTGTTTCCCTTGAATTTTCGGCTCCTTTATTGAAGCATGTTGATTTGCCATAGGACAGAAATTTCTTCTCAGTCATTAATTCACTTTACAAGTAAGTAAGGCCTTGGAATCTCAAAGTATTAGTCTGCAAAATTGTTCGTATCATATATTCCCCAAGCATTTGACTATGATAGACTAGTTTCACATGTACACCAGATTTTAGCTTAGATGCATTATATCTCTACAAAAGAACAAAGTTAGGTCAGTTCTTTATAACCTTTTGGAGAAAAGCTTGAGCCAATTCGTTTAAGTTCACTTGATTGTGCATGATGTATTTAATAATACACTAGAATGTTCCTGCCTAGTATGATTTTTCTCTGCCAGGTTAAGCATAGTTTGTGTCATTCAGTTAGATTATGAGATCCATTTAAACTCTCTTAATAAATCATATCTGTTCCTAATATTAGAAAATTTATAACATCTGTTGCTTGCATTCCGAATCTCCCCATAATCTGCTTGGTCTCAGTGATCCAATCACTGGTTAAATTGGTTGTTATAAGCATCTTAATAAGGAATTTGGACTTTCTTTTTCTTCTTTTTTTTTATTTTTTATTTACTTTTGTTATTGAAAAGCATTGTTGTATTTTATATTGCCAACAAAAAGAAAATACCGATCAATGGCCTGAAAGTAGTTTCTTGAAATTGAAAGTGAAAAATAGAAAGGATGTGAGAGTCTTGTCAGTACGAGATTTTATTGCTTTTGCCAAGGGCTTGCAAACAAAAAATACTTTTTCATATGGATCTTGAGTTTATCGTGTAAACTTGAAACTAATTGTTGCTGAGGACTTCACTGTAAATTTGTAATGCATTTGTATGACATTCACCTTTGCTTTAACAATTCAGGTTGCAAGACTTGAATTTACCTGCAGTTACTGCTACTTGATAACTTGATAGTAATTACATTGCATGCAGTATTTTTTTTGAACAATTTGGAACATCATTTCTGTTTCTAAATCATTGATTTTATTGAGATGACGATGTTGTGCCAGAATGATGAGATCTTGCTGGAGAAGCCAAGAATATCTTTGGAAGGAATTTCCAAGGTTTGAAGGCTGCCTTCCAGCATTTCTATCACCTTACTCATGGATGGCCAATCAGAGGGATTAATCTGAATGCACCACAAACTTACCAAAATCATTTTCCTTACCATTTGTTCTTCCTCGCCAGTAGTAATCCCCTGGAGACCTAAATCCCTCAGTTTTAAATGCTATGGCTTTCACTTTCTTCCAATATTTTGTTAAAAATATGGTGTGGAAATACAAATAAGTACTGCACTAGGAAAAATTGATGAAGCGGGTTAGTGAAAGTGTCATTTTTGTGGACATTTTCTCTCTACTGTGACGTCTCGAGTTAAAAAAATTATTTCGGATGCAGTGCTGGTTGAGCAGCATAGGAGGCCGGTAGAATAGCCCGTTGATTTTGACTGAAGGATGCTAGATCCTTCAACTGGCAGCATGTTTTTATCATATTTTTTCTATATTTTCAGTCACATTTTTTATAGGGTTAATTATCTTAGAGTATAGAATAACCGTACAAACTTAGATTTTAGGTTTTGGGGCCCAAAACTCGAGAGCTAAAACTTCAAATCTAAGTGAGAAATTGTGCTGGTTGACCTGCATATTCATTAGTTTAGGATGAATTTCCTATTCCAAAATGAATTTTAAAAGAACAAGGAAGACATACCTGGTTTTATCTGAACCCTTGGACATTTAGATAGATAAGGCTGATCAGGGCAATAGCATGAAAATCCTGTTGAACTCAGATTATACCCGCACTGCCCATCTGATCTAGTACACTCATCACATAGACTATTATTCGCTGTCCACAACAATCTAAAACCACCCTGTAAAACCGCAGCCAGACTGATTTGATGGTTTTGTAGATTTAACAATGCCGTTTGATCTGCAGGAACATTGACGCGGCTGTTCCACTTGCCCAAATGACTGCTTGCTGATGTTAGGTTCCTTGCCACATCGTAGTAGCTGAAGTTGCCTGTGTTATTCCATTTACTGCACAATCAATTGACTGGTGAGAAAGCTCTGGAATTGAAGGGCATCCACACTACAGTATGAGCTTGTGACTATCAGAAGCTTAGTTAAAGAAGCGGCGATCCAGAGTAGTATTGACGACAATGCCTGCTGGACAAGTATTGTTCCACAAATCTGCTAAGGCAACTTTGAGAGTCTGTCATGTTGTTGATTCCAAAAATCTGGTAACATTGTGACATGATTGATATCTCAGGGCCATCAGTTTTGCATTCTAGTTCAGACGCAGGGTGGCCGCAGTACTCTGGCCGGTGGAGACCCCAGAATGGATATCCTATGTCATTGTCATCTATTCCTGAGCACCAAAATGTTTTACTGAAGTTTAGGTATTGCTTGTCATAGCCGGCAGACAGAGAGGGGAGGACATTTGCAATAGAGCGAAAGAGAAACGAACACAGGCAACAAAGTTTCATTTTTCTCTCCATGGAGCTAAGAAAGCCAGAAATAGAACTCAGATATGGAAAGTGAAGTTATTTTGTTTCTGTAAATGTACATATTCTTTTTGTTTTTGGTTTTTTGCTTGAGACAAACAGTGTTTGAATTCAATGGCTGTTCCCAAGGAAATGACTTTGAATCTTCTTTCAGTTAATTTAGCATGCCCCTGCACCAGAGAAGATTAAAAGAGGCTAAGACAAATCCTGTTGTCTAGAAGGATGACTATATTTAACTAGAGTTATTTTGACTCCATTGCTGATGCTACCTCAGATTGCAGGTAACAACGAATTAGCACACATAAGTAGCTGCTTACTATCTTGGGCATAATCATAACTAAACTTCTTCTTTTTTCGCCTTGTACTTGTAGCTTGAAGATTTTTGTTCCAATGGCAGTCCTAGCACTCCTTATTCTCATTCCAGTCAATGTATCAAGTGGAACATTATTTTTCCCAAGGAAAGAATTAGTTTTGAGTGACATTGATAAACTCTCTATATCAAATGTGCGCCCTAAATCCATAAGGTAACTCTGTAACTCTTTTATACTTTTACAAATATTCAGACTTGATGATAACTGATTAACGTATGAGGTGCAGTATTGACTTCTCTTTAATTGAAATTATGCATAAAAAAGATGACGTTCTTGATATTAATGAGCAAATGAAGGTCAAAATAACACCATTGTTATGCATACCTTTTTAATTTTTCATGTTCAACACATACATCCAGTTATTATTTACTTACCGATGATAGCGCGTAGATGAGAAGAATATTGTTGTACCTGGATTGTTATATTGAATTTAACATTAAAACATGCCTAAATTCCTTTAGTTGGATAGTTCTTTGTTTATTTGGATAGTTGAAGTTGTGATTCTATTAATCCGGTAAAAGTAGATTGAGCCAATAATATAATAGGAGTGATATTATTTCTAGTTTCACCAACTATAACAGCAGATTCCATTATAGATACAGTCCAGCTCGTATTTGTATTTTTTTGGCCAACCAGCTCATCTTTGTATTACCCAACTGAAATTGAAATCCTTTACTTTCTGTTGGTCACGTGTTAGAATCAAAAACTGATTTGGAAGTGAATTCTGAGAAGAAATGCTTCTTAAAATCGCTTAAAACCACTTAAACTGATTATATGAATAAAATGATCTGCAGTCCCAATCCCAATGGGCAATTCACTGTTAAGATTGCTTACAAGCTCCGAAGGCAGGAGAACCCTGCCCATCCCCAAGCCCCGCTGCTGAAAAAATGTGGGGGTTAACCATTCCCCTCAAGGTCAAAATCTTTGCTTGGCAGCTAATTAAGAATAAACCGCAAGTTAGATGCAGACTTCACAGATTTATCCCTCAGATGAACCCTGAATGCCCTCTTTGTTGAAGCCATCCGGAAACTGTGGATCATCTTTTTGAACACTGCACCTTTGCCAAGAATTTATGGGGTTGTACGGCCTCGCTTCCTCCTATAAGTCAGGACAATGATTTTCTCTTCTGGCTAGCTAAGCTTTCTACAAACTCTCAGGATCATGGCCTAGACCAACTCTCAAATGCTCTGTTGGTTTGTTGGCAAATTTGGGATGCCAGGGAATTGCTTGCTGCTTTCGAAATGTTATTCCACATGCAGCAAGATGTATCCACATTGCCACTCAAGTTGGTATAGAATACTGGGAGCAATCATAAATCTAAAGCCAAGATTTCTAATGACTTGGCCATCAAGTGGAGTGGGTTAAGATCAATTTTGATGGTTCGGTCCAAGGCCTGCAAGGTTCTACTGGCTTTGTCATTAGGGACTGTGATGGTCATGTTTTATTAGCTGGAGACAAGAAAATTGGAGAGGTCACTATTACAGTAGCTGAAGGATTGGCCCTGTGTGATCTGCTGATCCTTGCTATAGATAGTGGATGGAAGAAGCTTGTCATCGAAGGAGATGCTAAACTTATTATGGACTGTGTCAAGAAGAAAGTTGCCATCAAGTGGAGTGTTCATCTAGTAGTTCAAGATATCTGGCAGCTTAGTTCATCTTGTGAGTCAGTATCTTTCGAGCATGTGTTCAGGGAAGCCAACTTTACAGTTGATGCCTTGGCTGGCTAATCTGGGCCAGTGTTTGCCCTCTTCCTCACTTTGGTCTCGTTCTACTTTGACATCTTTAGGCCTCCATGTCCTAGTGGGTTTGTCTTGTAATTTTCATTTCCGCATAAATAAATAAATAAATAAAAAGATTATATGGAGAAGTGATTATTGGCATATCCAAAATTATTGGCTTTCATAAAAAGTAAAACAAAACAAAAAACAAGATTTCTATAATAAGGACCTTATTTTGAGGACCTTACATAAGGATTAGCAAGGATGACAGCACAACCACAAAATTTGAATATTTTTGTAGATAAAATTTGTTAGAAGTGCAAAATTGAGAAGGAAAAGAAGACAAAGCATAGAAATAAGAAGAGAAAGCAAACAAAAGCATAGAGGCAAAAGTATTCCCCTTTATTTCTTTCCAACACAACAACAGAAGCATTTTTCTTATCAACATGGCAAGAATTTTGTACCTTTTTTTTAACTTAAGTATCAGCATTCATTTGCTCCACCTCCATGTCCCATTATGCCATCTTCACCTTCATTTGCTCCACTTTCGTATCCCATTATGCAGCTATGGAGAGCAACAGCTGTATAAAAGTATGTTTCACAACTGGTAAGAAGATCTCATTATAATCAACTCATTCCTTTTGTAAGTACCCCTTACCACTAGACAAGCTTTGAGTCTAGTTGGCTCTTTCTCATGTATTCATTCCTTCTTCTTAAACACCCACTTGTAGCCGATCACCTTCCGATCTTTGGGTTTAGGAACCAACTCTTAAATGGAGTTTCAATGTAGAGATTGTTGCGTAGATACAGCTGCACCAAAATGGATTCAGTTGCATCCTCAACTTGTGATACTCGCAAGTGCACGAGCCGTTCGGTC